CATGTGCTTGACTAGGAATGGAATCCATGACCCTTTGATGCACAGGCTGATGCTCGAATGACTGAGCCACACTGACCAGGGCTGTCTATATTTTTAAATGTAAATTTCATCCAAAACATGCTCATAGACACACCCAGTAAAATGTTTGACCAACCCTCTGGGCTCCCCTTGGCCCACCTAGGTTGACACATAAAATAAGCCATAACAAGGCCTTAGTTGACCAGCCTCATTCTGTTAAACCAGCCCTTCTCCAAATAAGATAAAATATGATTGGGTAGGTGTCTTCTGATTAAATTAAATCCTATAACAGTCCTGCCTCCCTAACATTATTCTGAGATCACCTTGGAGACTTCATTGATCTCAAATTCTTCATTCATTTAAAATTGCTCAGGACAAGGGCGGGGGGGGGGGGGGGGGGACACGGAGACATATGTAATACTCTTTGTAATACTTTAAGCAATAAAACAATTTAAAAAAAATTGCTCAGGACATTATCTCAGATGGCTAATTGTACACAGTATTAATGTTACTATGACTTCTGTGAGAATCACCGTTCCAAATGCTCTGAAAGCTCTTCTGTCTGTGAAGCAACAAGTTCCACACAAATTTAATAGATTCTTGACACTGAACCTTCCTTAGCAGTGCTCCTTGCAGACCTTGATTTTATTTGTACTTAAGCAATTCCTAAGAATAATGTCATTTAATTTTAAACCTTATATGGTTAGGTTTATTTCAAAATAAATTAACTAGCAAATTATGTCCTAACAAAAGGCTAATGGCATTTATAAGGCAAAATAAACAAATTTAAAGTGAAATCGGGTGACTGCATTGGTATAGCAGATTTTGGTGACACAGTCCAAGTATTACCCATTGTAATTTTGTGCTTTCCCTTGTTTATAACTTTCTTTTAAAAATCAATTCCCCCTTCTCATTGCCAAAAAAAAAAAAAAAATCAATTCCTAAAATGCACCCATTTTCAAAGTCCAAATTGATAAAAAACATTAAAAATTTTTTAAAGTATTTTTATGAAATTTTCTCTCCATAATTTGATAAATATCATTTTTCATTGTAGAATGTCGACAAAAGTACAATACCCAACCTATATTTGAAAAAGCAATTATCTTTTGACATAACTGTAAAGTATTAAACAAATATGATTATTTCTATAATCTAATCTCAGTACTAAGGAGATAAATGGCATTGCCTTTAGTTTTATTCTATAAAAATTGATCACCTATGAAATGCTTTTAAAAAAAATCTACATCTTTTCCATTTCCTATTTGAAAATGCTAATATTAAAATGATAATATTCAATACAGACTTCAAAGTGGGTTCTTATAATTGTTACTTGGTAAAAATTTTTACTTTAAAACTTTTACCTTTAGATAACTTTGATTCCCAGTATCTTAAATATGCTCTTTTGTTTTTAAAATAATGATGAAAATGTTGGGGTGTATATTTACATACAGATATTGAACAAGAATGCTATCAAAAGCAACTAGATTTAAAATCAAATCCATATTATTCAAATTATCAAAACTATTAGTAGCTGGTGTTTTGAAATTCAGTGCCTGTAAAAATAACTTTATTAATATGGTTCATGTGTTTCCCTTGAGACCAGAAATCTGCCTTCTCTATATAATTAATTTTGAATTACAAATGAATAATCAATTTTGAATTCCAAAGAAACCAAATTAATGGGAATCATTGGAAAGAAAGGAACTATTAAATTGTCTATCTCTCTTTTTTTAAAAAAAAATATTTTATTGATTTTTTACAGAGAGGAAGGGAGAGGGATAGAGAGTTAGAAACATCGATTAGCTGCCTCCTGCACACCTCCTACTGGGGATGTGCCCGCAACC